CAGTGAGATACAGTGGAACTGGTGCAGTGAGATACAGTGGAACTGGTGCCGTGAGATACAGTGGAACTGGCGCAGTGAGATACAGTAAAACTGGTGCAGTGAGATACAGTGGAACTGGTGCAGTGAGATACAGTAAAACTGGTGCAGTGAGATACAGTGAAACTAGTGCAGTGAGATACAGTGGAACTGGTGCAGTGAGATACAGTAAAACTGGCGCAGTGAGATACAGTAAAACTGGTGCAGTGAGATACAGTGGAACTGGTGCAGTGAGATACAGTAAAACTGGTGCAGTGAGATACAGTGAACTGGTGCAGTGAGATACAGTAAAACTGGTGCAGAGAGATACAGTGGGAACTGGTGCAGTGAGATACAGTGGAAACTGGTGCAGTGAGATACAGTAAAACTGGTGCAGTGATATACAGTGAACTGGTGCAGTGAGATACATTGGAACTGGGTGAAGTGAGATACAGTGGAACTAGTGCAGTGAGATACAGTGGAACTAGTGCAGTGAGATACAGTGGAACTGGTTTAGTGAGATACAGTAAAACTGGTGCAGTGAGATACAGTGGAACTGGTTTAGTGAGATACAGTAAAACTGGTGCAGTGAGATACAGTAAAACTGGTGCAGTGAGATACAGTAAAACTGGTGCAGTGAGATAACAGTGAAACTGGTGCAGTGAGATACATGGAACTAGTGCAGTGAGATACAGTGGAACGGTTTAGTGAGATACAGTAAAACTGGTGCAGTGAGATACAGTGAAACTGGTGCAGTGAGATACAGTAAAACTGGTGCAGTGAGATACAGTGGAACTAGTGCAGTGAGATACAGTGGAACTAGTGCAGTGAGATACAGTGGAACTGGTGCAGTGAGATACAGTGGAACTGGTGCAGTGAGATACAGTAAAACTGGTCGCAGTGGAGATACAGTGGAACTGGGTGCAGTGAGATACAGTAAAACTGGTGCAGTGAGATACAGTGAACTAGTGCAGTGAGATACAGTGAAACTGGTGCAGTGAGATACAGTAAAACTGGTGCAGTGAGATACAGTGGAACTAGTGCAGTGAGATACAGTGGAACTGGTTTAGTGAGATACAGTAAAACTGGTGCAGTGAGATCCAGTGAAACTGGTGCAGTGAGATACAGTAAAACCTGGTGCCGTGAGAACAGTGAAACTGGTGCAGTGAGATACAGTGGAACTGGTGCAGTGAGATACAGTGGAACTAGTGCAGTGAGATACAGTGGAACTGGTGCAGTAGAGATACAGTGGAACTGGTGCAGTGAGATACAGTAAAACTGGTGCAGCTAGAGATAACACGTGAAACTGGTGCAGTGAGATACAGTAAAACCTGGTGCAGTGAGATACAGTGGAACTGGTGCAGTGAGATACAGTGGAAACTGGTGCAGTGAGATACAGTGAAACTGGTGCAGTGAGATACAGTGAAAACTGGTGCAGTGAGATACAGGTGGAAATGGTGCAGTGAAATACAGTAAAACTGGTGCAGTGAGATACAGTGGAACTAGTGCAGTGAGATACAGTGGAACTGGTGAAGTGAGATACAGTAAAACTGGTGCAGTGAGATACAGTGAAACTGGTGCAGTGAGATACAGTAAAACTGGTGCCAGTGAGAAACCAGTGAACTGGTGCAGTGAGATACAGTGAAACTGGTGCAGTGAGATACAGTGGAACTGGTGCAGTGAGATACAGTGGAACTGGTGCAGTGAGATACAGTGAAACTGGTGCTGTGAGATACAGTAAACTGGTGCAGTGAGATACAGTGGAACTGGGCAGTGAGATACAGTGGAACTGGTGCAGTGAGGATACAGTAAAACTGGTGCAGTGAGATTCAGTGGAACTGGTGCCAGTGAGATACAGTGAAACTGGCGCAGTGAGATACAGTGGAACTGGTGCAGTGAGATACAGTAAAACTGTGCAGTGAGATACAGTGGAACTAGTGCAGTGAGATACAGTGGAACTGGTGCAGTGATATACAGTGAAACTGGTGCAGTGAGATACAGTAAAACTGGTGCAGTGAGGATACAGTGAAACTGGTGCAGTGAGATACAGTGAAACTGTGCAGTGAGATACAGTAAAACTCGGTGCGAGGTGAGATACAGTGGAACTGTTTAGTGAGATACAGTGGAACTAGTGCAGTGAGATACAGTGGAACTGGTGCAGTGAGATACAGTGGAACTGGTGCAGTGAGATACAGTGAAACGGTGCAGTGAGATACAGTGAAACTGGTGCAGTGAGATACAGTAAAAACTGGTGCAGTGAGATACAGTGGAACTGGTGCAGTGAGGAAACAGTGAAACTGGTGCAGTGATATACAGTAAACTGGTGTTGCAGTGGAGATACAGTAAAACTGGTGCAGTGAGATACAGTGGAACTGGTGCAGTGAGATACAGTGGAACTGGTTTAGTGAGATACAGTGGAACTGGTGCAGTGCGATCAGTGGAACTGGTCTAGTGAGAAACGTAAAACTAGTGCAGTGAGATACAGTAAAACTGGTGCAGTGAGATACAGTGGAACTGGTGCAGTGAGATACAGTAAACTGGTGCAGTGAGATACAGTGGAAACTGGTGCAGTGAGATACAATAAAACTGGTGCAGTGAGATTCAGTGAAACTGGCAGTGAGATACAGTAAAACTGGTGCAGTGAGATACCGCTCCTTACTAAATCGCTCGCCCAAATTTAAGAAAATCTTGTGAAAAGGCCCTTTCGGTATGAAATTAGTCTCGATCGGTGTATTTTTGGACGCTGATTCCAAAAATATTTAGTAGGAGCCCTAAACAATCGAATTCTATGTTTTACTAGCCAGTCACGTGACCAAAATGGTTTTTTGCCCATAACTCCAGGGAAGCATTTTACCCTACGTCATGGGGGGTGATTCGGAATCAGCGTCAAAAATACACCGATCGAGACTAATTTCTTACCGAAAGGGCCTTTTCACAAGAATTTGGCTTAAAATTTGGGCGAGCGATTAGTAGGAGCGATCTCCCGCAAGTTTTATTATACAGTAAAAATGTGCGGAGAAAAAAAAACAAAATTATTGGCAAAACCCAAAATTTGACGCAACGAAAATAATAAAACATCAAAGAGAAACAATCATAGGGAAAGCTAGAAAAATATTATTCGATCTTGAAAAAAAACTGCCCCTTTTCAAGATCCGAGGCCCAAAAAGAAACCCCAATCCAAAATAAACGAAAAAGAGTGCAAAAGCGCCCAAACCCTTTGTGAATATTCAATTTATAAAATAATTTATCAAAAGCGTTGTTCTGCTTTTAAAATTGTTGTTTGTTCCTTACTAAAATTGCGCAAAAACCTTCCCTCCCCCCTTTTGTTATCCCCCGAGCAAGTGGGGGATCCCCGAATGGGGTTTTTTTGTCCCCCGGGCATCGCAAAGGTGTCCACTGATTTTCCCGAGGCGCAAAAATTTACAGGACGGGAAAAGACAAACCCCCGTCCCGGTTGGGACTTCTCGGGCTGTTCCCTCCAACCCCCAAATTTCCCAAATTTTAGTTTCACCCCAACACCACACCAACCCCACCCCACCACCACCACCACCCCACCACCACCACAACCCCCCACACCCCAAAACACCCACACCCCCACCACCAAAACCCCACCAACCCCCCCCCCCCCCCAACAACCACCCCCACACACCACAACACACACACACACACACACACACACACACACACAAAACACACACACACACACACACACACACACAACACACACCACAACAAAAAACCCCAAAACAACAAAAACCACACACACACACACACCACACCACCAACACAACACACCACACCAAAACACACACACCCCACACCCAAAACACCCAAAAACACACACACACCCAAAACCCCCAAACCCCCAAAAAAACCATAAAAAAAAAAAAAACAAAAACCCCCCAAAACCACCACCAAAACACAAATAACACAAACCCCAAAAAACAAAAAAAAACAAACCCGCATAGAACAAAGTATGATTTGTAAAAGGGGATTTAAAAGGATTTTTTTTTTTCATGGGTTGAGGTTGTTAGATTTTAAAAAAATTAAGGGGCCGGTTTTAAAAAACCCCCACCCAAAACTGAATTTCTAAGCGAAACGGCGCCCCAAAAAATCAAAATCCCCTTATCGCCATGTATTTTAAAGTTTTCCAAAAGTACCCGAAAAAGGTAAAAAATTATCAAATTCAAAATCACAACTTTTAAAAATTGCAAGACATTTAAAGGTCGGAAACAACAAAAAATTTTTTGGGGGCCTTTTTTTTACAAAAATTTTGAAATTGACTTTAAATTTTTTTTTGGGGGGGTTTTCCCGGCTTTTTCCCCCGGGGAAAAAAAATTTTTTAAAACCGAAATTATGCCGTTTTTTAAGGGCCCCGCTTTTTTGAAGTTTCGGGGGTTTCAAAAAAAGTTTGAAAAGATAAAAATTTCTTTTTAACTTTTTAAAATCCCCCAAACTTAAATGTTCTAGGGGCCTTAAAAATGCTTATAAAAAATTTTGAGATAGGCCTTTCAAATTTTTTATTCAATTTTGAAAATCTTGGACCTCGTTTTTTTACGATTTTTCGAGGTCCAGGATTTTCAGAATTGAATAAAAAATTTTTAAAGGCCTGTCTCAAAATATTGTATGAGCGATTTCTTCTAAATGGTCCCTAGAACATATCATGAAAGTTTCAGGGTGATTGCTCAAAAAAAGTAGGAGAAGATAGATTTTTAGACTCGATTTTCAGAACTTGCGATTGAAAATCGCTCGCGCAATACATTTACACATAAGCGCTGACCTTAGACCGGCGATAATTTCGGCTAGAAACAATATTTTTCCATGGGACCAAAAGCAGCTGGTAGATATTACTCCCCTCTATTAGAAACAACTATAAAGTCAATTTCGAGAGATTTTTGATGAAGACCCCCCCGGCCCCCTTAACGCATATAAACGCATATTAACACATATATAAACGCATGTTAATCTTTAGATTTAGTACTCACAGTTGGCAATGTTGATGCACTTATTGGTATCGAAGCTATAAGCTTTTTTTGCGGCGGCGTTGCCGGTGTTCGTTCTCTTATCCAAAACATAGGAAGTTATATCGTTATTGTCCACAATCACGACATTACTCCTTTCAAACGGCGCTTTTACAGGGTCGTAAGTGGACGCTGAAATTTGTTTGTTATTTCATAATCATATATCAATAAATTAGTTATTAGGCTTATCCAAGTACCAGCACAATCTACAAAGTTCTATACCGAAATGAATCGGGATCAGCTTACTGGTAACTATTTAAAGAAACGTTTTCTAAACGTCGTTTTTAATAGTTTAAAGTTAAACGTTCCGCCCGAACTTTTGAGGGGGTCACGGACTCCGTGCGCCCACCGGTGCAGCCATACCCATATTTAGTCCTTTTTTGCCCAATATTACAAAATCCCCTCGACGTACCTAAAACCAAAATTTGGCGACAAATGTTTTTACCGCCTACAATATGATTCTGCACCGATTCCGATCTGCAAAATTTCGGTACTAGTTTGTTGGTCAAATGCCATCTCGAAAACAAGTTCCATAAAAAATACGTGAACTCCCACCTCCCCCCCCCCCCCCCCCCCCCCCCCCCCTTTCCCCCATTTATGGTAAGATATTATGTTATCGAAATAAAATATTTCTTTTTCAGATTAACTTACGGAACATCCATGTGATTTTGGCTGGTAGAACAGATGCCTGATCGGTAAATATGGTAAGGAAACGTCCGTCAAGTGCAGAATTAGCTTTTAACGCTGCAGTACAATCTGCCGAAATAGTATCGGAAGTAGTCAGTTGGATGGTGCCAAGATAAACTGCTAACGTGTCTGGGGCAGTACCAGTGGTATCAGCGATAATGGCATACGTAACATCGAAGGTAGCTGGTGGAATCGGAGCGTCTTCAGGTAAAACAAACGTAAGGGCTGACTCCACAAAGACGTCTTCAACAGCTGCACGGCACTCAAGTGTAACCTTATACTGCTCAAGATTATCACTAGATAGACCAGTGAATGCAGCTGTTAATTTGACTAGGCCTTCTGCTCCAGCAGCATCAGACGTGTGTACTGTGTGGATAACTTCAGACTCCACTACTGATATCTCATTCTTTAGAGTCAGATCATAACTAAGCAAGTCCCATGAAATTGTCATCTTGTTAGGGGCGTCATCCACGGTGATGACTTCAGCAGGTTGACTGCTAGAGATAAGACCTGAAATAAAATTAAAAAATTAATCACTAAATAGGAAATTCAGAGCTATATTTATAATAATACTATAATATATTATACAACACGCCAAATAACTATAAGATGCAGCTCTAGTGTGTAGGCATATCATTAAAACGACTCACCATCCGCGCTCTCTGGGAGTTGACCAACTTCACGCCCAAGGAAAAAAAGGTCCAATGGTCCAGCTTTCGTAAAAGCGAACGCCTCTGCTCCGGTCCACTCAATTTGTTTAGGGAAACAAAAATGTGCTGTTTCAGTAACGCCAATCAATAGCAAAACCAAAGTCCAGGTCTGATAGAGAGTAAAGAATTTAGTATCAAATTTGGTGCATATGCCCAAATATGGGCATATGGTTTTTGGCTCATAACTCAGTAATTTTTTGTCCAATTTGGATGAAAATTGGCCAAATTTGGCTCAAATATAGGCGCGGCTGCACTGCGGGCACCGGTGGACGGTTGGGGTCCGGGACCCCCTCAAAAGTTTGGTCATGGGTCTTAGTTTGTTGGTCAACTGCTATTATTATTATTGTCAGAATCAAGTTTCATAAAAATTTCAGGCTGGACGGCGGACAGTTCAAACATTAGGTAATGGATATTGTATAAGCCATTTTTGACCTTATCTCCGCTGGACTGACGTACGCAATATGTGAAAAGATCCCTTGTGTAATGTGTAACCATGGTAACAATACTGTAACCATGGTAACAATACTGGACTCACCTTCATGTCTAATAGCTGTGCACCGTCAATAGTCGTTACTGTTTTGATCAATCCTAGCCTATAATGATATTCAAGGTTATAATGCTTTTAGAAACGAAGGGAAACACAAAATGCAAGGCTTGAAATCTTCGTAAAACTACATCATGAGAGCCTGTAAAACATTTAAGATACCTTACTCGGGAATATTATAGCGGGTTAATTTATGACTGGGAAAATTAATAACCGGGAAAAATATGGCGGAATTTCCCAAAACCCGCCAAATTATCCCGGTCATGTATTTACCGGTGGCCGACCTTTCAAGCTTTTTTTCAGAGGTCAACAAATTTTCAACCGAAATTTCTGTTTTTGTTACTTGTTAAAGAAGTTATTTCAATTTACAGTTACTGATATTACTCAGAAATAGAAAAAAAGACACGTCTAGTATTTAAAGGAAAATAAATCTATAGCAATAATAAGTCAAATCTTCATTAAAGCGTATTCTCATTCTCATTATCGCTAATGTCGGGAGCAGGACTATTGAGCGGTGGACTGTTAAGCGTAGGACTGTAGGTCGGTGAAGGTCGGAAGTAGGACTGTAGAGCGGTGTCAAATCGCCAGGGTAGGACTCTAGAGCGGCCGCCCTTATAGATCTCACAACATGAGGACTTTAGAGCGGTACGATCCTAAAATGAGGACTGTAGAGCGGTGGACTGTAGGCCGGTGAAGGTCGGAAGTAGGACTGTAGAGCGGCCTTCCCTTATAGATCCCATAACATGAGGACTCTCGAATTTGATATACGAAAACTGGATACTCCGTGATATTTATACCATACCTTCGAAATCCTAACAAGATATCGCACTGCGATGGGATCTGATCTGAATCAGTCCCGTCACCAGATTGATGAACATGAGATATCCTTAGTAGGCGCTAAAGCGTCACGCGATGCGATCCTCATTCATAAATGATCTGCACGAACTAGCAGGAGTTGCACTCTGTGGGCACGGCGAGAAGGCCTCCCTCATTAAGTAAGAGGCCAGAAACCGTTGACCAGAACAGAGAGAGAGAGAGATCTGCACGAACTTGATCGGTACTCTACTTAGCGAAATCACATTGATACGAACAGTTCAATGTATAACTTAGCTTTGTTGAGTGTTCAATCTTCAAATTTTCAACTGCTATAGAGTCCTTATGTTATAGGATGGTACCGCTCTAGAGTCCTCATGTTTATGGGATCTATAAGGGAGGGCCGCTCTACAGTCCTACTTCCGACCTTCACCGGCCTACATGTACAGTCCACCGCTCGCGCTCAACAGTCCACCGCTCTACAGTCCTCATTTTAGGATCGTACCGCTCTAAAGTCCTCATGTTGTGAGATCTATAAGGGCGGCCGCTCTAGAGTCCTACCCTGGCGATTTGACACCGCTCTACAGTCCTACTTTCGACCTTCACCGACCTACAGTCCTACGCTCAACAGTCCTCCGCTCAATAGTCCTACAGCCCTAATGACCCCTCCATTATCATTATTGATATCCCCCTGCTGCTGACCGTCAAATTCGAAGTTGTATTGTTGTCTTAACAAGACTTTCATTTTGTCCGCTAATGGGGCTACTGCTCTGAAGGTCAGCCGGAGCTTAATTTCCTGCCCACCGCTTGGTATTGGGGAACGTCTTGGCTTTGCATCTTCAACTGCTCCAGTAATCAATCCACCGTGGACCATGAAATAGTGGCACAGTTTACTCACTTCATGGGCAAGAAAAGTGATAATCACGGTCCACCCTGAAATCTGATTTCTATAACCAAATTGTGATTTTTATAACGAAATTATGGTAGCAACCGCCAATAAAGTTACAGCCCTCCATCCACTGCTTCAAAAGTCTTCTCTAGCACATATGAGACTTCAGGTAAAATATGATGATCACCACCCCCTTGGAACCCCATAATCTGAGTCGGCGGGTTTTTTTATGACTGGTAAAATTTTTGACCGGGAAAAATATGGCGGAATCTTCCAAAACCCACCACTTTATCCCGGTTATAATAATCCCGAGTAAGGTAAGCACTCAATCAAGTAAAATTCATATATAATCATCATAGATAGCACTCAGTTTGACTGTTCAACTCTCTACTAAGATAAAGAACTCAAACATAAATATCAAAGTGCGATTGCTGAAAGGTTATCGGGTAAAACTTATCTAAATGACCCAAATGAGAAAATGAACGAACTTTTTAGTGACATACGTGCGTGTGCTGAAGAAACTATACCACTGAAAGGGAAATCCTCTAAACAAAATTTCTCCAGTGATCTAACAGTAGCTTCATTAGTTGCTAAAAAGCTCAGACTCTGAAGATCGAATCAGCCCCAAGTGGTAGTGATGATAGGAGAGAAGTTAGAAAGATTCAGAGTAGCATTTCTAAGAGACTTGTGCAAATAAATAACATTAAGGCTGACGCTCCAGCAAAAGGAAGAAATAACATTGACGATGCTAGAAAGATGTTTGAAGCTTCAAGATCTTTAGCTGGAATAAAAAGTCGGGTAACATAGTGGTCAATGACATCAACAACAACCCTATTGGTACTGATTTAGGGAAAGCAAACACAGTGAAAGCTTTCTTCGAAAAACGACTAACAGAAGGAGTTGAAGCTGGCCTGCAACCTTTCACCTGCGATCCAAAACCACTTGATAACCCCATTACACCAGTTGACGTTAAACTTGCTGAAAGTAAACTCAAATCAAACCGTGCCAGTGGTCCAGATAATCTCCAGAATGAGTTGATAAAGTACGCCCATCCAATTATTTTTGAGAAGTATGCTGAGGCAATTAATGAGTGATTTAGTAGGAACAAATACATTAGTTCGATAGGACAAGGTATTGTGACTCCTCTACAGAAGCCCGGTAAACCTAAATGTCCCCTCACAAGCCTTACACCACTTACACTGTTAAACGGATCGAGGAAGATGCTCACTCAAATTGCCTTAAAACGGGTTGAGAGTATAATTGACAACTACACTATGAGTATATGCCATGGCGGAGTGCTTACAAGAGAGGTAGCAGCTGCTCTGACATTGTGTGGGCTCAGAGAATGCTCATATCTGTTGTGATGAGGAAGAAATGGAAATTTAGCAAAATTGGTATTAATATGAGTAAAGCTTTTGATACCTTGAAAAGGGATACTATTGTCATCAAGGTGACAGTTTATTTGGAAAGTTATTCACACTTATTCTTGCAGCAGCCTTACACCACCTCAGAGCTGTATCTAGAAGACCAAACCCACCAGTATCAGAACTAGGTTTTCCAACTGAGTGGGAATATTCAGACGATTGTGACTTTGCTGACGAGGACATCGAGAAACTGAGAACTTTCCTTCCTGCAGTGAAGGAGGTTCTCAAAGACTGGAACCTCCAAGTAAATGAAAGTAAAACTGAATTCAGTACCTTCTACCTGGCGAAAAATCCGATAAAGACACGAACGGTCAGCCATTAGCTAATAACGAACCATGGCGAAGTAATAAGTCACTAGGTTCCTTACTGTGTACTGAGAAGGACATTCAAAGAAGGAGAATCCTAGCTGAGATTGCTTATAAGAAGTTTAAAAAGGATTGATGTCCGGTAAGAAAATTTCCCTTGAGAGAAAGCTGAGGTTATATGATGCTCAAGTTGTATCTGTATTGATTTATAACTCAAACAGTTGGAGTCCTAAGAAAGCAACCATGGAGAAAATAGACACACTTCATTGTAGACACCTGAGGTCCATTTTAAACATCAAATGGCCTAAATGTATGATAAGCAACAAAGCATTGTATGAAAGGTGCAAATTTGAAAACTTATCCAAGCGTATCGAACACCAGCGGTTGAAGATGTTTGGACACATTCTCAGGAGTATGGAGAACACCCTAGCCCAAACGGCTCTCTCTTTTGCTATTGAATCAGATAATTTATTTATTGGAAGATTGGGGAGACCTAGAATGAACTTGTTATCTGTTTTAAGAAGTGATTTAAGTAGTAGAAATTTGCACATAGATAACTTGCATGAATTAAACGAAATCAAAGATATAACTGCATGCAACAGATGTTGGGAAAATCTGTTTCAAGGGTACAGTTTACCGCATTAACGTATTTTCATGAATCATTCTTGTCGGTAAGATCCTGTTTTATAATAATAATAATTTGTTAAGACGAACGTAAAAATTGTAACAAAAGCAAAATATTCAAGGTTCAACTTTTATCTGATAAATTAACTAATGTATTAGGTAACTAATGTATGTATCTGTAAAACATAACTTTTCACGATCAATTACAACAAATTACTATCACAGCTAGGCAAAAAGGTATGTAGGTATACGTCGTATAGCACTGGCGGCAACTTATTTAAGTAAAGTTTCCCGCCATAATTTTCATATGTTTAAACTAAAATCGATCAAGGATGTCAATAAGTATCACGACATATGGATCAGGCTAGTAAGTTATAAGTATAAGTGATAAGTATAAAGGTAGAATGTTTCCAGGTTTATTCACCATGTCGAGTTGGAAACGTTACAGGAGATGGCATTTAATACTGCTACTGTAACTACAGTAAAACCCCAATTTACCGCGGCCATCTCCTTTCCCCCAAATAGGGTTTAACGTCATGTATAATGTAAGCAAACAAAACCCCGATTTACCGCGAACCCCGATTTACCGCGGATATGTCCTTTCCCCAAACTCCGCGGTAAATCGGGGTTTTACTTAACTACTAAAAATGTAGCACGCTCGGAGATACAGGCATATCAATCGTACTCCTTATATGGGGACCACGTACTAAGGGTTTAGTCTCCCAGGTAACCGTATCCAGGGTAACCGTATCCAGGGTAACTTGGAGTAGAGGCCGATTAAACGTCAGACCGCGGGTATAATTAATTGACCGCTGATTTAATCAGTCATATTAACTGCTATTAGATGTCAGGTTATGTCAAATCTTGCTGGACAACAGTGTGGGACCCACACAGTCACTGTGGTAACCGTCTCCCTGGTAACCGTCACTGTGGGTGGACCTCAATGATTACCGGCCAATGACTTGCTTGGAATTCCCTTCATCATAATAGAGAA